CCCACCTGGCAGTGGCCAAGAAGCAGAGAGACAAGAGGAGGAACCAGGGTCTCAATATCCTCTCGGAGGGCATGCCCCATTGAACTCACCTCCTTCCACTCGGCCCCACTTCCACAGGGTTCCAGCACCTCTCAGTAGCCCTCCAGGCTGGGACCACACTTCAACCCATGAGTCTTTGGGGGAACTTCAAGATCCAGACTTATAGCAATTTTCATCCTATTTGACTATCTCTGTATGTTAATTGGTAACTTTGCTATTTATTATGATTATTGATGCTTTTAAAAACCATTCTACTTTGTGTATTGTATTTATTTGATTTTTCTATGCTTTCCTCCCTTCTTCCTCTTCCTTCTTTTGAAATTGCTTGATTTCTTTGTTTTTCCTTAATCTAGTTCTATCTATTGTTTTGGAAGTGAAATATTTTACTTCCATTCTTCTGGTAGCCCACCTTTTGAGCGTTTAGAGCATAGCATACACACTTTGTGTAACATAACTTTAGTTAATATTTGATCTCCCTTTTTGAACATTTGAAGAACTTTAGATGATTTTAACTACAATGATCCCTTCTGAATTAATGCCACTGTTATCCCATATTTTAGTTAGCCCTTTAAAAATTAACCCAGAAAAACAAAGTTACTGTTTCTGTAGACAAAGTTTGTTTAGATTTATGTGCATTTTTTAAAAAAATATTTCTTAGTTGTAGGTGGACACAATACCTTTATTTTATTTATTTATGTGGTGCTGAGGATCGAACCCAGTGCCTCATGCATGCCAGGTGAGCACTCTACCACTGAGCCACAACCCCATCCCAGATTTATGTGCATTTTTACCAGGTGCCTTACAATTTCTTCTTGCATCTCAGTCCTTCCTTTTAGGACAATTTCCTTCTTCCTAGAGTTTGTGCTATAGATGTTCCTTTTTTTTTTTTTAAAGAGAGAGGGAGAGAGAGAGAGAATTTTTTTAATATTTATTTTTCAGTTATCCCCGGACACAACATCTTTGTATGTGGTGCTGAGGAGCAAACCCGGGCTGCACGCACGCCAGGCGAGCGCGCTACCACTTGAGCCACATCCCCAGCCCCTATAGATGTTCCTTTAGTGAAGTTTTGTTGGTGGTTGGCTTTCCTGAAAATACCTTTATTCTTTCTTTCTTTTTCTGGGGGGTGGTGGTTCTGGGAATTGAACCCAGGGGCATTCTACCCCTGAGCTATATCCCCAGCCCTTTTTATTTTTTGTTTTGAGTCAGGGTCTAAGTTGTTGAGTCTGGTGTGGAACTTGTGATTCTCCTGCCTCAGTATCTTGAGTTTTGAGTTGCTGGGATTATAGGTGTGTGCCATTACAGTGTGAAAATGCCTTTATTCTTAATTTTTTTTTTTTTTTGGTACTGGGGATTGAACCCAGGGGTGCTTAATCACTGAAATACATCTGCAGTCCTTTTTATTATTTTTAATTTTTAGACCAGATATCACTAAGTTACTTAGGGTCTCACTAAGTTGTTAAGGCTGGCTTTGAATTTGCAATCCTCCTGCCTCAGCCTCCTGACTGGCTGGGATTACAGTGTATGCCATTGCACCTAGCTAAAAATACACTTCTTCTTGAAAGATAGGCTTGTAGGGTTCATAACCCTTGATTGACCATTATAATGTCTTGGCAGTTGAAGATTCCATTCCACTGTCTTCCAGCTTCTTTATTGCTACAGAGTCCACAGTCAGTCTAACTGTGATAACTTTGTGGTACTGTGGGTGGTCTGGGTTTTTTTTTTCTGGCTGCTTTGCACAATTTATTTTCATATTTGATGATACACAGTTTCACTATAATGTGCCTGGGTACGGATATATTCTAATTTTCCACTTTGGTTGTATGGGTGTATGTGGCAGCACATACCTTTATCTGTGGGTTCATGCCTTATTAGTTCCGGAACATTCTCAGCTGTTATGCCTTTGGGTACTGTATCTACTTTATTATCTACTTCCTCTATCTTTTTCTCCTGATAGGACTCTGGATATGTTAGACCCTTTTTTTTCATTTTTATTCTCTTATCTCTTCCTTCCTTCCTCCTTTCCTTCCTTCCCTTCCCTTCTCCTTTTTTCCTCCCTCCCTCCCTTCCTCTCTCCCTCCCTTCCTCCCTCCCCCTTCCTTCCTTCCTTCCTTTCTTTCTTTCTTTCTTTCTTTCTTTCTTTCTTTCTTTCTTTCTTTCTTTCTTTCTTTCTTTCTTTCTTCTTTTCCCTTCCTCCCTCTCTCCTTCCTTCCCCCCTCCCTCCCTTCCTTCCTTGTTTCTTTCTTCCTGGGGATTGACCCAGGGGCACTTAACCACTGAGCCACATCCGCAGCCCTTTTTATTTTTTATTTTGAGTCAGGGTCTCACTAAGTTGCTGTGGCTGGTTTTGAACTTGAGATCCTTCTGTCTCAGCCTCCAAAGTCACTGAGATTACAGGAATGTGCCACCACGCCTGGCTCTCTTATCTGTTTCTACTGTAAACACCAAATTCTGCAAGCTACCTTCTCTCTCAATCTGTGTCTTAAGTGCAATTTATCCCATCCATTCAGTTTTCCATTCTCATAATTGTAGTTTTTATTTCTGAGAGCTCTATTTGGTTCTTCAAATCGGCCTGTCCTTTTTCTTGATCGTTGAAATATCATGTTTTTAACAAAAAACAAGTGTTGGTGAGGAGGTAGAGAAATCCAAACTCTTGTATGTTAATGTATGTAAAAATCAATGTGAAATGGTGCCAACCATATGGAAAACAAAATGGTGGTTCTTCAAACAATTAAAAGTAGAATTACCAGATGATTCCACTTCTGGGCATATATCCAAAAGAATCAAAAGCAGTACTTTGAAGAGATACTTACATATTCATGTCCATAACAGCATTATTCACAATAGCCAAACAGTACAAGTAACTCAAATGTCCATTGACAGATGAACAAATAAATAAAATGTGTTTAAAACAATAGAATATTATTCAACCTTATAAAAGAACTTCTGACACCTGCTACATCATGAAGAGCCTTAGGACATTCTGCTGAGTGAAATAAACCAGGCAAAAAATGACAAATACTGTATGTTTGCACTTATAAGAGGTACATAGAATAGTCAAATTTATAGAAAGTAGAATGGTGATTGTCAGGTGCTGTGAGGAGGGAGAGGTGAGGAGTTGCTACTTACCGGATATAGAGTTTCAGTTTTGCAAGGTGAAAACAATTCTGTGAATGGATGTTGGTGAGGGTAGCACAATGTAAATGTACTTAGTCCATTGAACTGTGCATGTAAAAATGGTTAAGATGGTAAATTTTAGATTATGTGTATTTTACCACAATCTAAAAAAATTAAATGTTGAAATAGCATTTAATTATTTAAACATTCTGCAAGTTATCATATTGGAATTCCTATAGTATGGCGGTTTACAGCATGCACTTTGTAGTCAAAACATTATGATCAACTTAACTAGTTTGTAACGTCAGGCAAGGTATTTTACCTCATTGTGTCTTTGTCTTTTTTATCCATAACATGAGGAAAAGAATAATACTCCATTGTAGGTTAGTGTGAGGGTATGCTAGTTTTGCAGTGCTGGGGATCAAACCCAGGGCCGCATGCATACTAGGCAAGTGCTCCATCACTGAGCTACACCTCCAGCCCCCGTGTGAATGTTAAATGCACTTAGAACAGTGCCTGGCACATAGGAATACTCAATTAATATTATAATTGTTGATCATCCTGACATCTGAGGTCCTTGGGTTCTAAATTAGCTGTTTATAATGATTCCCACTTATGTCGTGTTTTCTTTTTAAACATCTTTCTGATCTTCAATTGAAAGCTCATATTTGAAGATCTTTGAGAATCCTGAGGCTTTACAAATTGGGGATATTGTCCTTCAGAGGATCCGACACCTAAGACCCATTTGCCCCCTTCAGTTATATCTGTTACATAGGGGAATCCTGGGTTCAGTTTCCCTGCAGTGGGTCCCGGTTAATTCTTATCTAGCTTTTAGAGAGGTCTTTGTCCCTGAGACAACCCAAGATCTTCAGTTTGTTGCTCCCAGATCACCACTTTAGTTTCTGCTCATGGTTCTGATGGCTTTATTTATTTTTATTTTGTTTATTTGTTTTTTGACTGTTGAGGATTTCAGTCATCTTCTAAGACTCTAGTAAAACATTAACCAGTATATTTTATGAGCCTTCATACTTCTGGAGAAATCCACGGGGCTTAAAACTCTCCAACATTTTAAGTACGGGCACTTATGAATACTTAGTTTCCAGAACTTAGCTTGGCGACTGCCTCATGCCTGGCAGGTGACACTTTTTTTCTTTTTTAAATAAAAGAACCACATGGAGGGCTTTGTAGGAGGAAGAAATGAGGCCACAGAGGTGTAATATCTCTTTCCAGCCACTTGGGGAGCTCTGCTTAAATGTCACCCTTGAATGCTTAAATTGGCTCTCTCCCAAGTCACAGGGTGTCCTTAGCCCACAGCTGACATCAGGCAGACAGAGAGGGAAGCGGGGCTGCGGGAGAAGCCTGTGTGGGAAGGAGATGCCCTGGCCTCCCCAGGTGCAGCTCGCTGTTGCCCCCACTTAGCAGATCTGGTCTCCATGTCTCCATGTTTCTTGTGCCTCTACTTTGAGAAGTAATTGTCTCCCCAGGACCTTTTCATCCCCAGGCCAAAGAATTAATGCCTGATGGTCCTAGCTCCATTCTTATCAAGCAGTCCAGCAAACATGTACCAAAGATACCATCATTTAATGACAACGACACTTAGAAGTAACAATAATAACACCTGTAGGTAACAGTAGCACGCCAAAGGTAGGATGGTGCATTTACACTACATCTAGTTTCTTGTTCTGGTGGGCTTGGGAATGGGTGGAGAAGGGAGAGGGCTGGCCAGACCCTCTTCTCCTCTCCAGCCTGGTTATCTGGGAAGAGCCCTCTTCCATTCAGTAGAGGGGGAAAGTTCCACCTGAGTTAGCAGTGCCTCTGAGACCTCGGTCCATAGCTGGCTCCGTTCAGCGGGCTGCATCTCTCCCTGGGATTCTGGAAGCACTGGGGATGACTGAGCTAGGGCAGCTGCCTTCCTTCTGGGTGCCTCTGGGGTGTGAGGGTCTTGCAGGAACGGAGGCTGTTTGCTGCTCTAGCAAATGCCAAGGCCGTGGGTGGAGAGACAAGCCCCAGTGTGGGACTTCTGGGGGATCCCCAGTGGGGAGGACTGGAGAGAAGCAGCTCTGAACGCTGCAGAGGAACAGCAGCCTTACATCTCAGACTAGAATGAAAGAGAGCGACAAAGGGAAAGTCAGAGGAGTCGAAGAAACTTGACATCATGATGACAGGGGCAGAGTTATCTTCCTCTCTACACTACTATGCTCTCTTTATAGTCTCCAGGGACCAGGAAGTCTCAGAAACCTTTCCACCCTCTTCCTTATCACAATCTTTCCCTGGAAAGGATCTGATAGTCTCCTTCTGTTAGGAAACAGACAGTGATAAAGCTTGATAAAGTGGATGTGTTCCATGCCCTAAGGCACTGGCAGTTAGCAGGAATCTCTGACCTCAGGAATTTCAGCCTTAATGAAGGAATCTCAGGCTCTCAGCTTCTTGGGAAGGCAAATTATGTGGGAGGCAAAAGGTTGTCAGGATCACTTAAATCTAAGGATGGTTGGTGCTCTCATGGTGGAGGAAAGAGGGAGGTTACCCTGGGTGGGACGTCGTGCTCACCTTCCACACACTGTAGATCCAGTCGAGATAGGCTGTGACCTTGGTATACACTCCTGGGGTACTTGGGCCCCCACAGCCATGTCCCCAGCTCACGATGCCCACCACCTTCCAGTGGTCAGACTTGTACATCAGGGGTCCACCACTGTCACCCTGTGAGAGGCCAGAACAGGGGTTGCTGGGGAGGGTGGCCAGGGGCTGGCTTCCTTCCTCCTGGTCCTGCACTTCCCAGCACTCTCTGCCATTCTGCCCTCAGCCCCCTTGCTCCTGCCCATCCTGCATCCAGAAGTGCTCTTCTCTGCTGGAGCAAAAGGGTCTGTTGGTGGTCAAGTAAATTGTGGGTGTGCAGTGAGCCTTCTCCTGAGGTCACAACTTACACCAGCAAACTGAAGGCTGAAAAGGGCCCCGGGGAAGGAAGTCGGGTTATCTTTGTGTAACGTGGTAGTTCTAGAGTTTAATTAACCACTTCTGGAGTGCCTATTTTGTGTCTGGGCAAGTGGGATTCTATTAGTTAAAGGAAGGAAGGAAGGACGGAAGGAAGGAAAGAAAGAAAGAGAGAGAGAAAGAGAGAAAGAAAGATCCCTGCTCTTAGGAAGCTTAGGATTAAATGGGATGAGAAGCACCAATAAGCAAGTAAGTAACAAATGACAAGTTGTCCCCTCTCTGAACCCAATAACACTACAGCCTGTTTGTGATGTCCCCACCACCACTGTGAACTCATTGAGGGCAGACACTGACTCTAAAGCCTGCCATGTTGGTGGCTCACAAAAGATGACCAAGAGATGCCTCTTGAAGGAAGGATTTAATGACTGGGAATGGGATTGGAGTAGGTTTAGGAGTTTTAATGAAAATGTTCTGAAGACCTTCTGGAGGTGTGGGGTAGTAAAGTTCTAGTAAAGTTCAGCAGTGGAGAGACCGTCACAGAGAGAAGAGATCTGGGGTCCCTATCTTCATGGACCTGTAGATGATACTTAAGGGTGGGTGGGGAGGATGAGGAATGTCATCTTTGTGTGTGAGATGGACATTTGAAAGCTTGCTATTTATCTGGTCTGTCCACCCACCCACCCACATTCTTAAATCTTCATGTTCCTTCCTTCCCTCCCTGTCTCCCTCCTTCCCCTCATCACGCTGAATGCCCACCACATTCGGGTTTTCGTGTTAAGCCTTCAGCCTCTGGGGGTTCATATCTCTACAGGATGCACCCCCTAACCACAGAACTCCACATGACCCTGGGAGGCCCCACCTGGCAGGTGTCCACGCCACCTCCTGGGACGCCTGCACACAGCATCTTCTCAGTGACTTCTCCCTGGTAGGCATCATCTGCATTGCACCGGGTGTGGTCAATGACCTGGACTGACGCCTGCAGCAGTGTGTCAGACATCTTCCCTGGGAGGTTAAACACACTCACACTCTCATTCTTGCCGTCTACCCCCAACCCAAGTTCATTCTCTGCATCACTAGATCTCTTTGCTTTATACCTGGAACCTTGGTGCTTGGTCCTCCAGGATGGGCTTTTCTGAAGGATGGCCACCTTCCCATGACCCCTTGGGACCTGCTCTCTCATACAAGGTTATCTCTTGCCCTATGTTCCTGAGTCCAGGACTTACCACCATTCTCCTCCGTAAAGCCCCAGCCGACGACCCAGAGTTGGGTGGCTGGAGCAAGCTCCTCATCAAAGAAGGGCAGACAGATGGGCCTGATTGTACCTGCCAGGAGTGGAGAGGAGGAAGGAGATCCCAGCTTCATGACTTTTAAAATTGTCTGTTTTAGGATGCTTCGGCTGGGGATCTTGCCCATCTCTCTTGTGGGAGAGACTGGATTAGCTCATTCTTAGAGATGCTAAAGCCCTGGCCTGTGGACACACCTTTAATATGAAAACCAACCAATGCCAAGCCTATCCCCCAACCTCCTTTATCTAACTCTCACACACCAAGCCAATATTTTCCCCTTCCCTACATCACTCTGGGGCCAGGTACTAGAAACCTAGAGACCAAGCTCCATAGCCCAGACAACTCTTCACACCAGCCAATGCTAAGCTTGCCCAAACGTGCCTACCCAGCCTCGGACTCTGGCCACGCTTTCCCCTCTCTCCCTCTGCCTCCTGACGGACCCAGGTCCTTTCCTAAGTGGTCCTGCATGGCGAGGTAGGCCCCATCCTCTCAGAAACCGTTAAGTAATAAAGTCTTTGTTCTGAGGCAGTTGTCTCCAGGTCTGACACCTTACCACTCCTGAATAAAACAAATCTCAGGGACAAACTTTGAAACATGACAAGGGCCTAGGAGAGCCTGGTGACTAAGCCTTCTGAAAGGGTTTCTTTGACACTTGTTTAGAATCCCATAGAACAGGGCCACCCTCAGGGCTCTGTCCCCTGGTACTACCTCACCTGAGAATGTCAGTGGGTTCTCTAGTTTCATAAGGGCAATGTCCTTCTCTTTGGGGTACAAGGTGTTGTGCTCAGTGATGAAGATCTTGGCCACAGGTAGGGATGGGAAGCTGCTCAATTTTTCTGAGCCCACCCTCACCTTCCAGTTGGACACATCACGATAGTTCCTGGGGACAGAGAAGGATGGCTTCAAGTTTGAGCCAAGCATGAGAAGGGTTTGCCAGGGGCTGAGTCCCCAGGGCCCTAGGGATTCGAGTGCTGGGGGCTGCTGCCTTAGGAGGTAATCTGATGGTGGAGGCAGGGTGGTGGGAAGGGCAGTCTGAGGAATCACCTTCCCTGTAGGGGATTTGATTGTTTTCCTGGGTGAAACCTGTCCAGGAAAATGTCTGCCTGAGGGCTGAGCTGTGGGGTCCTGGCGCTCTTTATTCCACCCTTGGTCTTGGCTGTGCTACTCACATGGTGCTTACACTGTGGTCAGCGACTTATGGGCTTGTCTTTCATGATTCCCACACCAGACACAGCTTAGTATGTGGGACCCCCCCCCCACCAGGAAATGATTTGTACCTCTTGTCAGATTCTCAAAAAGCCTGAGAACCCCAGGGCTAGTCTGGGAATGCTTGCTGGGGTAGCCTTGGAGTCTCTCTCATGTCCTACGCACATAATCTGGATCTCAGTTCCTTTAGATAGTTATGAAATGTTGAATGAATGAGTGAAAGTGAAGGGGGCCTGGGATGGCCCTTTCCCAGAGATTTGGCAGGTCTCTCTGCTGGACAGAAAGGGAACCTATGTCTGTTCAAGGACATTTCTGGACATAATGAAATATGACAATGATTCTAGACCCTGGGACCACTCCCTGTAAACTGGCAAAGAGGAAATGAATTCTCAGGACTCCATGTAGGTGGGAAGAGCTTTTGTGGAGTGGAAGATTTGGAGGATGAGGTGGGTATCCGATGGCTTTTCTATCCAGAAATGTCAGACTTGGTGCCCAGCACCCTCTGCTCAGGCTTAACAATGGGCATCTTGGCCAGTGTCTCACTGAGGGGTCCTCATCCTGGCAATGGTCTCCAGGATTAGGGTTAGGGTTAAGCCAGGAGTTGCAGTCCCTTCATGGCGTTGGTCCCCCAGTCTCCTTGCGTTCAGGGCCTTACCTGAAGCAGTGGGCTGCCGTGAGGATCCACTGGGGATCCAGGATGCTTCCTCCACAGACGTGTTGCTTGTTGTACTGGAGGCTGACCTGCCAAGGCCAAGAATCCACAGAGGCCTCCTCCCCGCCCACCACCCGAGGAGCCTTCAGGCTCCTCCCACAGGCTGGACTCCACCGGAAGGAGGGAAAAAGGGGAAGTCAGACTCTGGGGGATGGGCTGCCTCCTCTGACAGCCTAGGTCTACCCTGAGCAGAGCCCTTAGGACTGGTACCAGGAGCCAGGGAGGACCAGGCCAATTCCGAATTGTTCTTAGAGCGACATTGAGTGTTCCAGACCACAGGCTTTCCCTCAGACCTCCCTCTCCTTTTGTTTGACTTTAGGTGTGTTTAGGAGTCTGTATTACCAACTTGGGTGTGTGCACTGTGCTGGGAATTTATGACCTTCAAACTAAACAGGGATGCAGAGTTATGAAAGTTCCGCCCAGGCGCATGTCCCCAGCTGCTCCTGCTGAGTAACAGTAAATACGCCCACAAGCTACTTTGGCACCCGGAAGTGGGAAGAAGTTTCCAGAAACTGGATTTTCGGATCTCCAACTCATCTGTCTTCAAGTTTGGCCCCCCTGCTAAGCGAGGCTCCTGATCAGTCATCCTGTCTTTCCCCTGACCGGACCTGGTTTTCGCATCTGACACTCCAGCTCAGACCTCCAGCCCCCTCCCTGCCTGTCCTGTCCCTTGGGCAGCCCCTGCCATGGTGGTGCTTCCAGCAGGAAAAGGCTGCCACCCTGTCCTGCGTGTCTGGCACTGTGCCAGGGGGGCCTTTAGGATACTGTCTGTTTTCAAACCGCTTTTACCTGCCACCTTGCTCACCCACCCAAAGCTCTCTGTTGGCAAGGTTAGAGTTTAAACTCTTTCTTCTGGCAGACTCCTACTGGATTTATATAAAGTTTCTGTCTAGCCAAATTGATCTGCTTACTGCTCCCTGCTATGATTTGGATTCAGTTTGAATGAGTCCCCTAGAGGTCCGTGTCTGGGAGCTTGGGGTGGTGTTGAGGTGGCGGGAACGCTAAGAGTTGCGACCTTATGGCTCTCAGGTTGTTGGAGAGGCTGCCCTCAGAAGGGATCAAGGTTGTTTTCCTGGGATTCCTGAGTGCTTGTGAAAGCCATTTGTTAAAAGAGTAAACCTGACTCCTGAATGGCTCTTGGGCTTTTTGTTTTGAAATATGATCTCTTGTTCCTGCAAGTGCTCCTGTCCTTAGCCATCATCTGAAGTTGGATCCTCAACAGAGGCCAAATCAATGGAGCTGCCTGATAGTCAACCTTCAGCTTTCAAAACTGTGTATTAAATAAACTTATTTTCCTTATAAAGTTAGCCTGCTTCAGGTATGTCATTACAGTAATGAAAAAATAATATCCTCAAGTCATGGGCTGTGAGTAGAGGGTAGAAGATAATTCCTAACATCAACCATTTGTAGGAGCACTGAGCTATAAGCTCAAAGGCTAAAGAATAAAGGTTCAGCCTGAACAGAGTGAAACTTGGAGTCTGGAAGACTCTAAATGTTCTAGATTTAGGAATGCAGAGAAAGGTCTTCCTCCCTGGTCATTCCTAGCCCAGGTCTCAACCCCTCAGAGATGGAGCATACTCACCAAGGCAGTGCAGGGCAACCAGGGAGCCTGAGAGACAAGGTCTGGAAGAGAGACACAGGGCCCTGTGGGTTAAGCTTCTCCCTTGGCTGGAAGGCAGGGACTCTGACCTTCTGGTACTGTTGATTTCTCTCCCACTACCTGGGAAATCTGGCTCAGTCCTTGGCACAACACTGGCCTGACTTTTTTTAAGTCCAGAATCTTGCATGATGGCGGCTGTATAGAAACTGCATTAACACTCAGAGCAACCTGATTTGATCCAACAGCCCAGAATTGAACATATACCCTGTGCTGGGTCCTGCCCATTTCAAAGCCCAGCTCAGGCTCCTGGCAGCCTGAGCGAGAAGAGGGCAGAGCAGAGTCCACTGCACTGCGGGCTTTCCAAATGGAAGAAAAATGGGAGTTCAGTGGAATTCTAGGCAAACATCACCCGATTACCAACTCTGTCCTTTTCAAGATTTACTTTGATGAATGAGCAGCCCTCAGTAACTCCCTGGATGCTAAGGAGCCAGCATCCCATCTGAGCCACTTTGCTGCAGTGTGGCTGATTGCATTTAGATGCTGTGCTCTAATGCAGGGTGGCAAGGACAGGGTCATGGAGCACTGCGAACGTGTGGAGGGCCTACTCTGGCCTGGGTGAGTGAGTGGTAGGGAGGGATGAAGTGACTTTGGAATCTTGCCTATTGGGCAATTTATTAGGGCACCAAAGGCAGTAGTAAAAACATTTGACTTTACCATTCAGACTGATGATAGCAAGGTCACTTTATCCATCCCTCTGCCTTTGGGTAGGAGAGCACACTTTGTCCAACTATATATTCGATTAAAAAAAAAAGTTAACAAAGAAAATCTCTCAGAAAAGTGATTCTATAGCTCTCAGTGCTGAATGATCTGCTTGGCTGGGAGTTCTTCCTATTGTCTGGCTTACATGCCTTTTGCTGCTGGTCTGTTCAGGCTGAGCTGGCTCACATGCTAGACTTTGCAGGCCAGAGGTCTCCTCTCACTTACCCACTTGAGTTCTGCACCTGAAGCTTCTGGCTGTCTTGTGTCACTTTAACAACATCCAGATCCTGGTCTGGGCCAATCTCCACAGCTTTGAAAGTGGGTTGGCTATGGAAGGGAGAGAGCTGTGAGCTGGGGGCAGAGACCAGAACAAGATAGTAGGAGCAGCCCTGCTCTCAGGAGAGAGGGTGGCAGAGAATGCCATTGTGGAGTGGGGGTGGTTTTGGTAAGTGGGCTGGGGTCTGATTTGCTGTGCAATAGGAGACATTATCATGACATCCCAGGACTCAGTCCTCGGCAAAACACTGGCCTGACTTTTTTTAGTCCAGAATCTAGAGCTCTGGAGAAATAGTAGGGATTCCCTTTCCTAGCTCCAAGCTGTGTGCCTATTTCAAATGTCCCAGTAGTTTCTTCTGGTTCACATCAGGGGATTGAAAGAAGCAAAGGGACCCAGCTAAGCTTCCTCTCACCTTGGAGGGGGTTGGAATGTGGATATCCAGTTTTCCAGGCAGGGCATCTGATCTGACTTTGACACGGGGTGTACATACACGGCCCCTTAGGGGTAAACAGGCCTGGATCTGTCTTGACATGAATCTAGACAATACTCCCCAACTTGAGCTACCCTCCTTCTTTCTGCTAATCCATGTGTGCCCTCTCTCAGACTGTGGGCTAAAGTCTCCCTTCCTCCAGAAAGCCTTCCCTGATCACTCCCATCTCTGTGATTGTTCTTTGGCTGAATCTGTCTCTTCCAAATCTTCCCTTTCCTTCTCCACCCTGTCCTGTTACCATAAACTCTGCAGATAGGGTGGGGGTCAAGCCATGCCCTGACTGAATGATATATGCTTGGTCAGGAATGCTGCCATTCCCTGGGTGGACTCAGGCACTGGACTCTGGGAGTACCAAGAGCCTGTTTTAAGAGCCCTCAAGACTGAAGTTCTTTTGCTGGTCCTGACACTAGTTTGATGTGTCACCTTGGGCAGGTCACATTCCTTCTCTGAGCTTCTCTAAGTCTCAGTTTTCTCCTCTGTAAAGTGGTGAGTGGATCAGATAATCCCCAAGGTCATCCCACCTGGACCACCTATGGTTTTATGGTCCTAGGACAAGAAAGGCCTCCAGTCCAGGTGGAGGGAAGAAAGTGGAGAGATCTGAGTAGAGAAATCAATCCCAAAAGGAAGGACAAAGCTGGAAATGGGCATTCCCAGGAAAGTTAATCAATTACACCTTCATTAATGAACTTTGATTTTGTGCAGCCCAAGAGCCAGGTGGTTTGGCGGGCTCCAGAATGACAGAGATTCCAGGAACATATCATCTTAAGAACCCCAAGAGACATCCGGGTTTCATAATCAAGCCTCAGCCTGCTGCGATAGGTACAGCTGACACTGCAGTTGGCTGGACTGCAGTGTGTGGGGGGGAGGGGCTGGCAGAATCCAGGCTGGGCTGGGGCAGCTGCAGGAGGAGGGGAGAATAGCAGGTGCCAGGCATGTCCCTGCTCTCCTCAAAACTGAAGGTGGCAGGGGTCCTTTCTAGAGGATCCTAGGTATTGCACCGCACGGAGGGTAGAAAGCAGCAGAAGCCTGTTAACTAGAGGGAGCGAGGGCCAGGTGGATTTGTAATGGCTGCCTGGGGCATCTATTAAAAAGGACCTTGAGGCTGCTTTTAGAGTTCTGTGATTGGTTGGCAATATTTTCCTAGTGGTTATAATGTCTGCCCGTCTCTGGGTCAAGTTTCTTAGAATCCTGAAGAAGCTTGGCCTTCTAGGGAGAGGCTATCTCATTCTGCAACTGAATACAGGGGCTGTTTTCCATCCTCTTTAGGTAGGCTCTCCGGTGGCCAAATGTCTCACTTCCCCTTCCATTATAGATGAGGTGAGAGAAACGTACAAACGAGAGTCCCCAACAACACTGATGCCCAGGAACAAGGGCCCCTGGGCAGAGATTCTAGCCCTCTACCTCTCAGCTACTACTCAAGCCAAGTTACTTTCTCCAAGTCTACTTCTAATTTAGATATAATAATAACCATGTTTTTTGGTTTTCTGCCAGGCTCAAATGAATATAAATATATATCATGCTAATTACCCTCTTATAATTATGCACCTTCCATTCACTCCAGACTTGGAACTGTTTTTGGAATTTGCTGAGGGAGCTGGGATTGCTGATGATGGGGCCCCAATGAAATCAGGCTCTTTTAAACTAAATTTTAACCAACAAGACTTTGTGTAAGTAAATCAGGCTTTTAGATTACTGGACAGGGGAGGCTTCTTGCAAAGGACAGAGGAGTGAAGATTGAGGAGAAAGGGAAAGAGAAGATGCAGGGGAGCTGGAGCTGTGTGAGAGTGGGTGTGAGAAAGTGTGTTGCAGGACAGTGTATATGAGTGTGTGCTGGGGGACAGCTTGGATTCTGTCACTGGCACCCCTCAATCATCCTTTGATGTCAGCATTATTTTCCCCAATTAACACACACTCTCTCTCTCTCTCTCTCTCTCTCTCTTTTTCCACACTGGAGATTAAACCCAAAGATGCTTAACCACTGAGCCACGTCCCCAGCCCTTTTTGTTTTTTGAGACAGTGTCTCACTAAGCCGCTGAGACTGGCTTTGAATCTGTGATCCTCCTACCTCAGCCTCCTGAGCTGCTGGGATTACGGGCCTGAGCCACCACACCCCACTCCAATTAACTCTTGAGGAATGGAGGTGTAAAAGCTTTCACTTCGTGTTGCTCATGGGTGAAAGGGCTAGGATTCAAGACCAGTGCCATCTGACTGTACTTTAAGGAAAGAAGGAAGAGGACCCAAGAGGAAGGAAGCAAGGAGAGAGGAGGCTATGGTGGGGTGACACCTCTGATGGCCCAGGTTGGGTACCTGCTGTAGCCCATTTGCCCACAGGCTGTCTTGGCCAGAGTTTCTGTGAAGTTGTCGAAACAGGCAGAGGCCCAGTTCCCTGTGGCCGGGTCCAGCACCTGCAGGGTGGATCGGTCCTTGGAGAGTCGGACTGGGAGGGGAGGAACCTGGATCAGCTGGAGCATGGGACCCCTCTGGCCCAGCCCCCCAGAACTCATGAGACTAGCCCAAGCACCCCAACCCAGAAATGAGGACACTATGGGCACTGATGCTTTTAACATCCTGGGAGTTCCTCCATTTGACTGTCTCCTTGACCCTCATTTTGACAATGGCCAGGGTTAATGTCCCAGGGTCAATCTTCATCATCATTCTGCCCTGTTTCCCTGGCACAATGGTTAATAGCACCCTCTTTTGCTGATATAGGCACCAGGTTTTTTTTTGTTGTTGTTGTTTTGGTACTGGGGATTGAACCCAGGGGTGTTTTACCACTGAGTCACATCCCAAGCCCTTTTAATTTTTTTTTATTTTAGGCAGGGTCTCACTAAATTGCTTAGGCCTTGCTAATTTGCTGAGGCTGACCTTGAACTTGTGATCCTCCTGTCTCAGCTCCCTGTGATTGGTTGGCTGGGATTATTGTGTGTGCCACCATGCCCAGCTTAGGTGCTCAGTTGTGTGGTCACTCTGGCCCTGGTCTACACAGCTTGCCTGGCCTGGGGAAACTTCACAGCCAGGGACCTAAGTACTTCTCCACTTGAGGTCAAAAGGGGAGGTTGACTGAGAAGTTCTATTAGCAGTAGGGTGACAGTTGCCTGGAGGCATTTGACTTTAATGAAAAAGAGCAAATATAAAGGATGCCACTCAGGGCTGGGGATGTGGCTCAAGCGCTATCTAGCGCGCTTGCCTGACATGCGTGCCGCTGGGTTCGATCCTCAGCACCACATACAAATAAAAAAAAAATGTTGTGTCCACTGAAAACTAAAAATAAATATTAAAAATTCTCTCTCTCTCTCTTTCTCTCTTAAAAAAAATTAAAAAAAAAAAAGGATGCCACTCAGTCCTGCCTCTTGAAAATCCCCATCACCCACATCCTGGGTTTTTTCTCTTCAGACCTCAAGTACCAGATGCATTGAGCTGGGCTAGGCCAAAGTCATGGGTTTTTGCTTCTTTCAAGGATTGAGATCCTTCCCATTATACAGCATGTTACAATAAACACTAATGACTAGAAGGATCATTAGTAGGTTTATGGTCTGGCAATCTCTTTTCTAATCACCTTGAAATAACAGATTTCACAGAAATCTGGTCAAAACCTAGCAGGTGCAGCAGGAGTGAGCAGGCTCAGGGACAATTTCCTGTGTCTTCTGGTCCATGTTTGTCCATTGACTAGCTCCTGAGTGTATGCCAGGTGTGTATTGCTGGAATCTAAAGGTGGTCATGGTCCTGCTCTCCTGAACCTTTTTTGGAAGGGATAGACACTGACAAGTCAGTGTGCAGACGCTGTACGGTGACCCTGGGCACCTGAGCTGACTTCCTGCTGTGCCCATTCCCTTGCCCCTCAGCCTATGAACTCACCTCCCACCGCAGGCCTCTCTGGGAAGTCCTTGACACAGGGCTCCTCATCTTCTCCTGAGGCACAGTCCGGATGTCCATCACACATCTGTGTCCTCGGGAGGAAGTGCAGGGGGTGGCCGCAGATGAAGTAGTATTTATCCAGAATCACCTTGACTGGAAGGAAAGTGCAGGGAGAGGCCCAGAGGACTGAGGGTCAAGCAGGCTTCCCTGGGCAGGGAGAGGCTGTTTTTTTTCCTACAAGTAGTTCTGAGCTCAGAGGCTGGCAGATGGGGGTTCCAGGCCCAGGTCTGCCATGCAGTAGCAGATACACCTGGTTCCTTAGCTATCAAGCAGAGATTATACTGGCCCATGTCTACGTGATGGCCCTGGAGTCCCGTGAGAATGTGTGTGTGTGGGAAATTGAGAATCTGACTCTGTCAACTGTTACCCCTCAGGTGATGAAGGAGGAGGCAGAATGGGGGACTTGGGGTCCCAGGACCTGGTTCTGAGTCCTGGTTCTGCCACTTGCTGTGCATCTTCTCACGAACTCCTCCCCGTGCTAGGCCTCACTTTCCTCCTCCGCACAACGGGACGGTAACCCCTATCTCGCAGGCTGTTGAGAACACGTGGCCAGCTGGTCGTTGTGAAAATACCTTGTCACTCTCAAGTACAGCTCGAGAGGTGGGTGGTTTTTATCGGGGGTTTGAAAGGCCCATGAAGAGGTGTGAGCTTGGTTTTGTTTTCTGTCTTAGGATTCTGCCAGCTGCCTTCACCTTCGGTTGCTCCTTTGCCTTCTTGGGCTGGCAGAAAGGTGTTTGGTCATTAATCTCTTAGGGAACAGGTGTTTTGAGAAGTGTCTCTGGTGATGATCCGTAACCTAACACACTGGCCGAGGGGAGCTCTTCTTTTCTAGGTGCTCTCCCTCCAGTCCATGATCAATCCCAACTGGTTCTGGGAGTGGTCATGGAGATTCTGTGACAGTTCCCACTTATCACTGTACTGGGAGTTTTCCAAACTGTTGATCACAAATCCCAGGAACAACCTTAGGAGGCTGGTGCCATTACTGACTCTCATCACTGAGAGGGAAACTATGGATGGAAGAGTTAGCGTTTCTTCCCAAGCCCATGCCTTGCCTCTATGGTTCAGCCAGCCACTGTCTGCCTCCCAGAAGATGCACAAGGTGTGAGTGGCTGGCCTGTTGCCTGCCTGGCTTCCTGCAGATAAATTGGCCTCTTCTCTCCACTGTGGCAGGACATATGTTCAGAGGAAATAAGCTCACTTTAACATTTAGACGGAATTAAACAGGCTGGTAAATCTGCTGATACCACTGCAAAACCACCGCTTTAGGTTGTATATGAAATGTCCCCCCAAAGATCCCTATGTTAAAGGCTTGGTCCCAGGGTGGTGCTATTGGGAGGTCTTTAGGACATCGGGAGCATGACTCTGAAGGGAATCATGGGAGTCAAGTCCCTTCTTCTTCTTTTGCTCCCTGGATCATGATGTATGTGATGCCGGGTGTTTCCCCCATGATGTGCTACCTCACCACAGGCCCAAAGTGGTAAGGTCAATTGATCATGGACTTGAACCTCTCAAACTGTGAGCCAAAATAACCCTTTTCTCTTTACAAATTGATGATCCTGGGTGTTTTGTTATAGAGATGGAAAACTGACTATGTAATCATAATCATGTCAGGCCAGCCAACATGATTTCAAGAAGAAACGTTTTGGAGTTTTTCTGCCTCTCACACGCATTCAGGCTCCCAGTGATCTGGGTGGTGTTTATGTTGTGGATCTGCATTTCCAGTGCCATGAGATGGAAGTGGACTTGCTCAGTCAGGGGCCTGGGGTCCTGCTCCAGTTCTTCCCTGATTGTTACACCTCCTCTTTCATCCTCAGTATAGAATGAAGGGTTGGACCAGAGGATCTCGGAGTGTTTTTCCAAAGGGGTAGTGACTGCTGCTGCTGCAAAAGCCACCATGGTAACAAGTACAGACTCCCTAAGGGCCAGCCATTCCCAGGCTGTCCAGACAGTCCTGCCCTAGTTAGCAAGCGCATGGCCTGCATCCTATCTCTGCATGCTGTGTGGTGACACATGCTTTTGCAAAACTTGGTTTTTATCTAGGTCCTTTGGGCATGTGATCTCGGTGGTGCTCACCATACTGCTTGAAGAAAGGCAGAACATTTTACAGGTAGAGTAGGGATGACTGTCCCAGGTGTCCTGATTCTTACTCTCATCTCTGGTGCCCTACACCCTGCTGTTCACAGCCATGGTCAGTTCTCTGCTGTGACAAGGGGGTTGGTGAAGGCAAGGACTCAGTCTCAGAGTGTGGCCACTAGAAGGGACGATGGGAATCACTGTTCATTCAGTTAATCTTTGTTACCAAGTGGGCTGTTCAAGGTCACACTGGGTCTCAGGCAATGATGAAGACAGGGCTTTAGGGGGGAGGGGCACCTGCTAGGCAGTGTTCCCTTGCCTCCTCCCTTCCTCCCTCCTCACAGGCCGAGATGCTTTCTGTCCTTGCAGCCAGGAGGCTGCTCAGATCCACTCAGCATCAAGCTGCAGGGGCTGGGAAGGAGGGAGTGGGGCAGGCTTGTGTGGGTTAGTAACATGGGCCACGTGTGTGTAGCGGAACTTCTCTCTGGGATAGAAGCCATCTGGGAGAGATGGGGGCGAGTTCAATTCCCCTTTCACTCTTGGAAGAAGGCTCTCTTCAAAGCAGGGGCGGATACATGTGGAGGCAAAGCTTTATGCAGATCACCTGCCTGTAACTGTGGGGGTGGGAGGGTGGAGGCTGTGGGTGGGGGCTGTCACTTACTGAGGGGTGAGGGCGGTGTGAGGGCTGCCACTTATTGAGGGGGTGAGGGAGGGTACTGTCACCTGCTTAGGGAAAGAAAGTTGGGAGGGGCTGTCGCTTACTGAGGATAATCACGATGACGATGGTCGCCAGGCTCAGCAGAACCGCGATGATGGGGATGCCCACCTTTCTGAAGGTCTCCAGGGGAGTGCGGGGTTTGCGCAGGGTGGTGGCATCTGTCAGGAGGTGTGAGCAGGGCAAGAGTGTGCAGTCAGTGTTTGGAGCCTGCCGCCGCCAAGGCCCACAGCTCCCACCCTCTGGCCTGTGGCAGGAATGCCTTGGGGACAGTTTTGGTTGACGCTGGGGGCTTATTCCTGCAGATGAGGCTGAGCTTGATCAGCACGCAGCCACCCACCTCCTCTGACCTGGGCTTACCCATCTTTCATAAGTGCTCCTGAAATGAGCCTGCAGCCCATCTGCCTCCCCCTCGTCTTGCCCTAACCTGTTCTGGGATGTGTCACCCTGTTAGGTCTGAACTGTGCCTGCCTTGGGAGAGGCCAGTCCCCTGGGGCATGTACTTGAGCACATCCTCATTTATTGTGCTATCATTTACCCTTTTCCTGACTTGTCGTTCTTTGGATATCTTTTTATTTTTAATTGACACAGGGTAATTGTACATATTTATGGGGTATAGCGTGGCATTTCAGTACATGTATGCAATACATAAGGATCAGATTGGAGTAATTGACATACCTGTCATCTTAGACATTTACCATTTCTTTGTGCTGGGAACATTCAGGATCCTGTTAGCTCTTTTGAAATATAATTGTTGTCAACCACAGTCACCGTACTGAGCTATAGAACAGTAGATATGATCTCTCCTATCCAGCCACACCCAACTTATCTTCTGAATAAAATAGAAGCTCCGGGAGGGCAGAGGCCACCAGCACAGTGAACGCTTAATAGATGCTTAATAAATAAAATCTTGTGCACCCTGACAGCCTCCATCTCCAAGTCAAACCAACAAGCAGTGAGTCCCCAGCATGGCCCTTGTCTTTAAGGAGATTGCGATTCAGAGAAGAGAGAAACGGGAAGCAGATGCCAGTACCACCAGGTGGAAGCCGGTGTACGTTACTAGATACATGGCCAAAAGCAGACTGAGGAGGGCTTCCCGAGCAGGTGGCGCTTAGATATAGGTAGAAAGGAGGACCCGGACCTTGGGCCAGCCCCAGCACAGGCATGGAGGTGGAGAACCATGAGGGGGTGGGGTCCTGGAATCTGAGGTGTCAAAGCATGTCAGGAGGCAGGACAGTAAAGTCAGTTTGTGGAGACTCTCGAAACCATGCTTAGGCTGGGAGCAATGGCACATGCCTATCATCCCAGTGGCTTGGGAGGCTGAAGCAGGAGGATCCCAAGTTTGAGGCCAGCCTCAGTAATTTAGTGAGACCCTGTTTCAAACTGAAATAGAAAAAGGGCTGGGGATGTGGCTCAGCAGTTAAGTGTTCCTGATACAAAAAAAAAAAAAAAAAAAAAGAAAAAGAAAGAAAAAAGGTGCTTAGGTGTTTGAGTTTGAATTTTTATCTTGAAAGTGGTGAGTAGCCATGGGAAGTTTTTGAGCAGTGAAGAGACATGATAAAATTAATATTTAGAAAGAGGAATCTTTCGCTGGGCAGTTGATGAACTGGAACAAAAGATCCTGGGATCAGGGAGCAGTTAGAGCCCTTCACTGCCTAGAACAGGGGTAATAATAACTCCGTGTGCATTTCACAGGGCTATTCAAGGAGATGGGACTTGGGAACAACTGGGAAATGCTAGGTTCTCAGGAAGTAAGAGGTAGCAGAGATAGGTCCTTTTCAGTCCCCTCTCCTTGTGGGCCACAAGCTGAAGGGGTGCAGGGACCTCCCCTTCAGGGAGCGCTGGAACAGGAATTTGGGCACCCTGAGAAACCTGAGAAAGCCATAGGCCTCCCTCCCGCCGTGGACCCCATGTGACTTACTCTCATCCTCCTTAAGTCTGCAGTCTTAGTGAGGCCTTTCTTGGTCTCCCTACCTAAAATGAAACCTTCTAGCATTTTCCATCCTCCTTCCATGTTTTCTTTTTTTCCAAAGCGCTYATCCTCTCTAACATACTCTACATTTTGTATATTTTGTGTATTTTCTGTCTCTTCTACCTGTGCCTGTAATGAAGACTCCAGGAGATAGGACTTTGTGTCTGTTTTGTGCACTGATGAGTCCTAGGTCCCCAGAAGGGTGCCTGCCCCACGGCAGACACTCTACTATTGGTCCAATGAACAAAGGAATTGCTCTCGACTGTTCTTGTAAGCACACCCTTCCATCTTTCTTCCAGGTCTCATTTTATTCTGCCTTAAATGGTAGCTAGTCAGGTGTCTGGCTCTATCCTTCTCCCTCAGCTCTTCAAAAGCAAAGAGTGTTCTGCCAGAAACTGGTGTCCCATAAATGCTGATATGAATGACTCTGCTGATAAGGGAAAGCTGAAAATTTATGTTTCCATAAAAAAGTGTCTTCACCGTAGCACCAAGTAGCTTATCAATAATGCTAGCTGATATCATCATTTTTCAATGTTCCAGCAGCCAAGCTCTTCTCTTTTCTGTGTGCATGGAAGTGTTTCACAGAGGCATTCATTCATTTAGCATGATTAGGTCTGAGCCCCTACTTCTGGAGGCAGGAGATGGCTTGTTTTCTAGGAGAGCAAATGACCTATCAGGGGCCATGAGTTCCTGTGACCAGGGTGCAAGGCCTCTGCCTCCTGGGCATTCTCAGGAAGGTCCTGCTCCCCTCATCAGGAAGGGAAGGGACTTCATACTTAGCTTAGATTCCAGAACCCAAGGAGCTAGGAATGGCCTCCCTGCCTGCCGCTGTGTTTTCCTTCAGTCTTGTCCTTGCTGCTGGACAGAGCTTCATAAAAGCTGGCTTTGGGCCTGTTGCTTTCCCCTTGAGAACTTATCACAGATCCTTACAACTTGCACATCTGGACCACGCTCCTGTCTGTGCTTTCTAAACCAGGGTGATTTGACCTTGCTCTTCAGTGGGCTTCTACTGCTAGTCCCCACCAGCTCCCAGCTCTTCCCAGACAGGGTTGTTCCTTGGTCCTGGAATGACTGGTATTAATTCTCACCTCTGCCTCTACGAGCTCGGCCCCTTCCCTCCTCCACTGAGACTCGTCACTCTCTTCGCCCCTGAGAGGCTACTCATCCTGCAAGGACTGGCCCAGGCACTCTGCCTGACCCCTGGAGCAGCACTGATCTTTCTGGTTTGGTAGTTCTCAGGCTTATTCAGGGGGTGAAGCGCTGGGAAGCTTGGTGTCGTGTTCCTGGGGGACACCATGGCCTCTGATACATTAATTCCAAAGTACAAACTAGGTGCTGTTTTTTATTTGCTGAAGATTCCATTGATTGTGAACATTATTAACTTGTGACCCTGAACTGAGAAAAAAGCTAACTAAGCAGGATTGGATATTTTCCTAATGATCTGTGCATATTAATCTGTTCCTTGCTCATTTGTTTTGCTGTTCTAGCAGGCTATCAGAAATAGGTATCAATGGTTTAAGAAGATATAATGGGTTGACTGGGGTTGTGGCTCAGAGGTAGAGTGCTTGCCTCTCATGTGTGAGGAACTGAGTTCGATCCTCAGCACCGCATAAAAATAAATGAATAAAATAAAGGTATTGTGTCCATCTACAACTAAAAGTATTTTWAAAAAGAAGATGTAATGGAAGGAAAAAACCCTTAGATTTGAGAACATTCTGCTTATGACCTTATCCTTCTCCTACGAATTAGGCAAACATTGCCACTTTCTTTTCTACAGGTGAAAACACTGGTGTCCAGATGGTTTCTTGTTAGCATGGACATGCTGCGAACTCCATGAGGACAAGGACCTCGCTTACTGCTGTAGCCCAGCATCAGCCCAGGGCCTGGCACAAGGAATGAATTGGGGGATCATTGTTCCTGGGGCTGTGGTTTGTGGGTTCTATTTCCCCAGAGACCAGACCTCCTACTTCTAGAACGAATCCTGAAATTCACAGGTACTTAATGCTTCTTGAATGATGGATGAGGGATGGATGACACCCACAGCAGTTAGCACTTGGGATAGGTGGCAAGGGTGGCTCAGTATCTACTTGGTAACTGAAGCAGAAGCTGAAGGAGACATAGGGAAGCCAGACTTGAGCTTACCGGGGCTGTTCAGGGGTTGGTTACTGCCAGGATCCTGTAAATTAAAGGAAAAATATTGAGTTGAGTTGGGGAACCCCTCAGACCAGGGCTGACAGCTTAGGGGAGAGTCTTGGTTCATCTGTGTCCTCCTCTTCCTGCTAGGTCTAAGTTGGAGTTCTCTGGGAGATCCAAAAATGAAGAAATTCAGTCATGTACCTCTTTGACCTGGCTCAACTAGGTTACTAATTATTGTAACTAGCCAGCAATTATAGAAACAACTGGTTACTGGGTTTTTGTGAGTATTGCTGAATTCTCAAGATTATTTTTCTCAATTGTCTGTTTTTGCCAATCACTTGTCTATTTCTTTCTCTCTCTCTCTTTTTTTTTTTTTTTGTAGTTACTGTATTTCTGTGAAAACTCGAACAGACACTTCACATAAGGGGATACCAAGTGGCCCAGTGTGAATTCAAACCACAATCAAGTATCTTTGCATAGACACCATCATAGCTAGAAAAAAAAAGCTGGTAATACTAAGCGTTGACAAGAACATGGAACAACTAGAACTCTCAAACATTGTTAAAGAGGGTAAGCAAGTATAAATATTTGGCGAAATCTACAAATGTTAAGCTTATGACTATTTTATGATGTCATGACCTAGCAATTCTACTGCAGGATGTAGCTGAGAAATGGATGCATATGGCTAGCAAAAAAACCTATACATGAATGTTCATGTATAAAAGCTAAACATCAGGAAAGCCCTAATGTCAATCACTGGTGGTGTACATTAATAAACTGTGGTCTACTCATGTACTATAATTTTAGTACAATAAGAATAAATTAGCACTAAATGTAATGACCTGGATGAATTTCATAGACATAATGATGCAGGAAAGGAGCTAGACATAAAAAGTATACACTGTATAATTCAATTTGTATGAAGATGAGAAATAAAATTTGAGGGATGATAGAAGTCAGCAGAATGGTTTCTACTGGAGAGATGGGGGAAATTATTGGAAGGAGCACCACGGAGCCTTCTAGAATGTTGAAAAACATCTACATCTTGTTCTA